GGAGCTATCCGTAATAGAAGCTATGTCAACAAAATTTGATATTGAAAAGTTCAATGGGAGAAATTTCTCATTTTGGAAATTGAAGATGAAGGTCATCCTGAGGAAAGATGGTTATCTAGCGGCTATCAATTAAAGGCCGGTGGATTTCATAGACGACAACAAATGGAACGAGATAGACGAGAATAATATGGAAAACTTTCATATAGCATTAGCATGTTAAGTGTTTTTAAGCATCGAGGAGAATAAGACAGCTAAGGAGATATGTGACCATCTCACCAAACTGTACGAGGCCACATCGTTGCACAATAAAATATTCCTTAAGAGGAAATTGTACACTCCTCGGATGTCAGAATCTACTTCAGTGACGGAGCATTTAAACACACTAAACACTTTATTTTCTTATCTTACATCCTTAAGTTGTATAATATGAGAACAATAACGTGCTAAATTTCTACTTCAAAGTCTACCTGATTCGTATGATCAACTCATCATCAACTTGACAAACAGAAATGTCACTAGTCTAGTCTTCGATGACGTTGCAACTGCTGTTCTACAAGAAGAAAATTGGCGCAAGAACAAGGAAGAGAGACAAGTAAATCTCTAACAAGCAGAAGCGTTGACAACGATGAGAGGAAGATCAACAGAACGTGGCCAAAGCAACAGTCACAAACATGGTAGATCAAAGTCGAGAAGCAAAAAGAATTTAAAGTGCTACAAATTTGAAAAGAATGGTCACTTGAAGAAGGATTGTTGGAGTCTAAGTAAAAACTCCAATCCACAAGGCAATACCGCAAACACTTCAGATGATGGAGATGCTCTATGTTTTGAAGCGTCAACCATCGTGGAAGGCAGAAAACGATTTGCAAATATATGGCTCATTGATTCGGAAGCAACATATCACATGAACTGAAGAAGAGCTGTCTCAGGAGGATCTGTGTATAGTTGCAATAATCATGCCTTAGAGATTGTTGGCGTGGGAACCATTAAATTGAAGATGTATGATGGAACAATTAAAGTTGTTCGAGATGTGCGGCACGTGAAAGGCCTGAAGAAAAATTTATTATCCTATGGATTGTTGGATAATAATACGAGCAAGATTGAAACACGGAAAGGAATCACAAAGGTGTTCCATGGAGCGCTTGTGGTGATGAAAGACGAAAAGATAGCAGTAAACTTGTACATGCTGAAGGGAGAGACTTTGCTAGAAGCAGAAGCCTCTGTTGCCTCATGTAGTTCAGATTCTACAATGCTATGACATAAGAAACTTGGACACATGTCAGAACAAGGAATGAAAGTCCTTGTGGAGCAAAATATATTTCCAGGCTTAACAAAGGTATCATTTACTTTGTGTGAGCTTTGCATAACAAGTAAGCAGCACCGGTTGAAATTCAGCATGTCAAATTCTAGAGGCAAAAGTGTTCTAGAATTGGTTCATTCTGACGTATGGCAAGCACCAGTTACATCCCTAGGCGGAGCAAAATACTTTGTCTCATTTATTGATGACTACTAAATGAGATGTTGGGTGTACCCTATTAAGAAGAAGTCAGATGTGTTTTCAACTTTCAAAAACTTTAAAGTGCAGGTGGAACTTGATTCTGGAAATAAGATCAAGTGTTTCAGAACAGATAATGGAGGAGAATACACAAGTAAAGAATTTGATGACTTTTGCAGAAAAGAAAGCATCAAAAGACAGTTCACAGTGGTGAACACTCCTCAACAAAATGGAGTGGCAGAACGGATGAACATAACCTTGTTAGAAATAACAAGAGCAATGTTGAGGGCTGCATGTATTTGGAATTATTGTGTACGTGATGTACAACTCCCAAGAAATTTCAAAGTTGGATCCAAAATCCAAGAAATGCAAATTCTTGGGGTATGCTGATGGTGTAAAGGGGTATCGCTTGTGGGATCCCACTTCCCGCAAAGTGATCATCAACAGGGATGTTATCTTTGTAGAAGATAAACTACAAAGTAAAGAAGATGATGATATCGCTGAAAAGTCAGAGACTACACAGATACATATAGAAAAGGAGTTTGAACAATGAGATTCTTCTGAAGCAGAACCAGCACATGATGAACAAGAACCAGAGAGTTATGAAGCTCCAATAACTCGTTAATCAGATCATGTGAGAAGACGTCCCAATTGGCACTCATATTATGTTATAGAAGGAAATATTGCATATTGCCTTTTAACAGAGAACGGTGAGCCATCAACATACCAGAAGGCAACAAACAGCTCAGATGCTTCACTGTGGATGATGGTGATGCAAAAAGAAATTGAAGCCCTTCATAAAAATAATACATGGGACCTTGTGCCACTACCACAAGGAAGGAAGCCAATTGGTAACAAATGGGTCTTCAAAATTAATCGAAATGGTGACGATCAAGTGGAGAGGTATCGTACAAGACTGGTGGTAAAAGGATATGCTAAAAAAGATGGTATTGATTTCAATGAAATCTTTTCTCCTGTAGTTCGACTAACAACACTTCGAGTAGTCTTGGCAATGTATGCTACATTGAATTTACATCTAGAGCAGCTAGATGTTAAAATATTTATTCTTAATGGAAATCTTGAAGAAGAGATTTATATGCTCCAGCCTGAAGGTTTTGAAGAAAAAAGAATAAGAACTTGGTTTGCAGGTTGAACAAATCTATCTACGGTCTAAAGCAGGCGCCGAGGTGTTGGTATAAGAGATTTGATTCCTTCATTATGTGCCTTGGATACAACAGACTTAATGCAAACCCTTGTGCTATTTCAAGAGGTTTGGTGATAACGATTTTGTTATATTGTTGTTGTATATGGATGAAATGTTGGTTGCAGGACCCAACAATGATCTTATTGAAGAATTGAAGGCACAACTGGCTAGGGAATTTAAAATGAAAGACTTGGGATCAACAAACAAGATTCTAGGGATGCAAATTCACCGAGACAGAAGTAATAAGAAGATTTGGTTTTCACAAAAGAATTACTTGAAGAAAATATTGTCATGATTCAACATGCAAGATTGAAAGCCAATTTCTACCCCTCTTCCTATTAACTTCAAATTATCCTCCAGTATGAGTCCTAGTAGTGAACAAGAGAGGATGGAGATGTCTCGAGTACCGTATGCATCGGCAGTGGGAAGTTTAATGTTTGCTATGATATGGACAAGACCAAACATTGCACAAGCAGTGTGAGTGGTTAGTCGATACATGGAGAATCCAGACAAAGAGCATTGAAATACAGTAAAGAGGATCCTGAGATACATCAAAGGGACATCAAATGTTGTATTATGTTATGAATGATCAAACTTACTTATCAATGGATATATCGATTTTAACTATGCAGGGGATTTGGATAAAAGCAAATCTACTACAGGATATATGTTCAAAGCTGCTGGTGGAGTTGTAAGCTGGGTTTCAAAATTGCAGTCAGTTGTGGCTACATCCACAACAGAGGCAAAATATGTAGCAGCTACACAAGCCAGTAAAGAATCAATTTGGTTGAAGATGCTATTGGAGGAGCTTGGGCACAATCAAGAGTATGTCTATCTGTTTTGTGACATTCAAAGCGCCTTGCATCTAGCAAGGAATCCAATATTTCATTCAACGACAAAGAACATATGAGTTCAGTACCATTTCATTCGTGAAAAGGTGGAATAATGGATGATAGATATGCAGAAGATCTATACCAAAGACAAAATAGCAGATTTCATGACGAAGTCAATCAATGTTGATAAATTTACTTGGTGTCGATTCTCTTGTGGCCTATCAGAAACGTAAGCAACATGAAGGTACAAGGTAGAAATAATGGTGTGAAGATATGATTTTCTAATCAAATCTTTAAGTGGGAGATTGTTGAAAGTAAAAAATGGAGAATGGCGACATGGGCGGCTAAATTTTGTCAAAATTAAGCAGCAATTTTGATGACTTTTGGCATGGGAAAATTGTAAAATTAGTCCCTTTACTTTAGGATATTTATAAGATTAGTCCTTAAGCTTCAACTATAAATACCCTAACCCATTTAACTTCAAAATCATTCAAAATCATTCTAGTTTTCTCCCCATACTAGAGAATTTAGAGTGTTTTATTGAGAGTTGTTTTCTCCTTTTTATCAAGAGAGAATTGTTATTGTTTTCTCATTGTTAGATCGAGAGAAGTTGTAATTCCTATTTTCTCATAGTGAAATTCTTCTACCGTTGCCCATGATTTTTACCCTATATTATTTAGGGGGTTTTCACGTAAAATTTGTGTCTTCTTTATCTTTATTTTTATTTTCTCAAATTATCAGTTGCGATTTTGCTCTATCCGATAGCCGTATTCCACAACAATGTTACCATATCTAACAATTGGTTCAGGAACCAGAATAAAGTCATGCTTCTTGGGCATGATGATGGCCATCTAAGAGAGAGAAACATGAAGGATACCGTCATTTTTAACCATTTTGGACCTAACTGCAACCGATGAATGCCAAGGTAATGATAAAAGGTTCCATGTTTTAATTGTTTGCAAGTAAGAAACTGTATATTTACGGCAATTATTCGACCATTGTTATTAACTAAGAGTTCGTCATGGATATGCACACCTGGCCAACAATTTTCATCTAGGATGGGAACAATATGCCATTGGTGGAAGCACGAGCCCTAGCATCAAGAGTGAATCCAACGTTTTTGTAGCTCCAAATGCAGGCGACAACTTATTTTAAGGTTACTAATGCTGGGTCGGTTAGAGAATTGACAAGCGCATCTGGTGTTCTAAAATACTCAAGGACTTTGACATGCTAGGTTTATGTATAGTTTAAGTTCTAATCATCAGCTTAATCACAATATTAATACATGTATAGTTTAAACGCTACTACTCTAATTGCAAAGCTTCTGCCAGGCTTTATGTTCTACGTGTGTATATATATAGTTTAAGTTCTAATGAATACATAAGAAATAAGGGTTTCTCTTAATTTTATTATACTATTAGCGAAGAAGACCAAGTCTTTTAAGACGGTACATAGAAGTAGAACTTTTGCCTTACACACTAGCTGCAATGGAGGCACTGTAACCATTTCTATCATCAAAGAACTTATTCCAAAGCATAACGCCGCCATAGTTTGATGATCTCTTGATAACCAGAAGAATCTGAGAAGTCAACACATTCGGCGGAATATACCCGCTTCCGGCCGTCGCCGGTGTCGCAGGCAACCCTAGAAATATATTGTCCGCGTTTATAGATGAAGTCCACTGGTTCCACGAATTCAAGAGGTTCTTGGTGTCGTCTGGCGTGTATTGGCATTGCGGGTTGTTATAAAACTGAACCCAAACGTAGTCAAAGAGACCCGTGTTAAGGGCAGCCCCGAAGAATCTATCCGAAACGGACAGGAGGTTAAAGATTTAAACTCTTATCATAATTTTATTTTTGTTTTAAATGTTTATATTATTAGAATTATGTAAATAAATTTTTATTTAAAATTTTATTTTGTCCAATTAATTAATAATTTATTAGCCATTTCTTCCTTCACCCACTTTTATTGGGGAGAACATGACTTAAATATTTAATGTATTCATTTTTGCCTTTTTTTTTCTCTTGACGAATTGGATATGTAGTTCGTGCCACCAAATTATTCTTCCAACTACCGTTGATTATAAACATAAAAAAATCACAAACATATTAAGATGCTTCAGATAAAAAAAAATTAAAATATTCGAAATAAAAAATAATTAAAATATTATAGAATAACTAAGTCAATATTATAGTTGATACAACATTGATCAGATTTTAAAATTGAATCATTTAAATATTTATAAATGATTGCGAAGCCCATCAAGTGTTCTAAAATGCTCTATAAGACTTCGGGATGCTAAGCTCGTGTGAAGAAAATACTTTTAAAACCCGGTTACTATCACCCAAGGCTAAAAACAAATATTTTCAAGAAAATTATTTTTTTCTTAATTTTACCTTTGATTTTTTTAATTCAATCGTGAGATTAAGACTCATTTCATGTATATTTTCTATTACGATGTTCTACTATTCTGCATTGATCGGATCTTTAATTCACCTGAGGTAAGATTCATTTCAAGTACATTGTCTAGTACGATGTTTTTTTTCAGAGATCATGGATTTTAATAGATGTGGTATGTGCAATTATCAATTGATTAAGAAAGTTACCAACATATATTGTTTTATAGTAACTTTAAACTATTAAAAATACGATTTCTTATTTTTACCCATTTTTTATTTCTTCTACCGATTTTTAATCTTCAACTTTTGTAGGTTTTTGGACAGCTTTCCTAAGGTAGCTCTTTTGTTGGGATTTTTTCGATCGAGATTTTTTTGTTTTCTTTTTATTGCGTTCATCGAAGTGTGGTGTAGTGTATGTGTATCAAGGTGTTTAATGTTTAGGATTCGAAGGATCAACGTATGCAAATGTTCATAGTGGAAGTCATACTCTCTATTTAGAATATGTATAGTCAAGGTTTATATAAGGATATAAATCGATTAGTTAGAAAAATATAACTGTCGATTTTTTAAGAATTTTGATTGTTAAAAGAGAATAGTGAGATTATGAGAGATAATTATTGAGATGTATAAAATTTAATCGATTTGATTTTTAGATCAAATAAGAATGACAATCGAGTGGAACTCCTGATTAAAAGTAGAAAAAGAAGAAGAAAGTAGGGTTTCTAATAATCTAGGTTAGATCAATTTGTGTTGGAATAGATCCGAATTCGAGCCTTTAAGAGTGTAGGGCTAAAGTTTGAGGCTAATGGCTGACGGTAGACAAAAAAGTCCAGATTTAGATCTAAGCTGATAAGCTTAATCTTTAGACTTGGACCGGACCAAAATCAATATCTACGTATGTTATTAATTTATATAATACGTAGAAGTCATAAATTTTGTATTTAATTATCCTACCATATGAGATGGGAATTTCAGGTTTCTATAAGCAAGAATTCCCAACGGTACCGTTTGGAAGGATTCAATAATTCAGCGATCAAAACTCGCATACGACACCGTACTCGCACGACAAATTGACTGCAACAATTTGGCGATTTGCCAAATTCTCAACCGTTTTAAACGAAAAAAAAGATAAAATAATAAGAAGAAACAGCCAGCGTAGCTGTGTCGATACAAACTAAGCACTAAGCTCCTTTCGTTCTTCTACACGCCAAATTTAGCGGCGATTTCTCCAATCTCCAGTTGCTCACCATTTTCATTACCTTCCTCTTCCAATACTCGTGTCCGTTTCCCTCTCTTTCCCTGTATCAACATTATAGCAAATGGCGCAAGTGGTGGCTACTACTATATCGATTCACGGCTCATTCTTGAGCCCAGGCTCTGGATCCGTTCACGGACGACTTGTCAAGCTGAAGCCCGCTAGCTTCGCTTCGAAAGTGCTGGCATGTGACGAGAAGAAGTGCAGGGGAGTCGTGATTAGGAGGAACTCTCGGATTAATGCCAAGAGAGCCGTACGCTCCGAGCCTGAGGTTATTCCGGTGTCTCCCGAGGATGTACCGAAGGTTTGTGCTACTAGGAACCTTTTTGATCGTTTTGCTTATGTGTTTGGTTGCTTACAAAGCATGCGTAAAGGATAAAAGAATACGAGTCAAGCTTTTATAAATCTTAGATGTGTTTTTGGATGAAATTAGGAGCTGAGAAAGCGTTGGGGGTAAATTATACAAACGTAGTGATACTATGGAGTGTAGTAAAGTTGTATAATGTTTTGTTTGGTTTGTTGAACATGCATTTATCCTCGAATTTAAGTTTTGGGCATATTGAGGGCTCTGCAGTTGCATGACATAGTAAATATGGTTTCATTTGACATATAATCAAAGGGCTTATCCTAGACTCACAGAGAGAATTCGTTGGAAATTGTTGCTTCTATGTTCTACTTGTAACCTTCTGTAACTTTTTCTTCAGAGGGAGGAGCAACATAGGCAAGTAAGGGAGCTTCAACAAGTTGGTGACACATCGGTGGCTATGTGGTCCAAACCTATTGTTAAACGTAAAACTAAGATTGTTTGCACTATCGGTCCTTCAACTAACACACGAGAAATGATTTGGAAGTTGGCTGAGACTGGAATGAACATTGCTCGTTTGAATATGTCTCATGGAGACCATGCATCTCATCAGAAAGTTATTGATTTAGTTAAGGAATATAATGCACAATCCAAAGACAACACTATTGCAATCATGCTTGACACCAAGGCAAGTTTTCCTTAACTTCATTATGTTCTACACTGTGAAGCATGTTCAGGTTGCTTGAGTCAATGAGTTTGATCATTTATTATAATTGGCTGGACTTAGTGATGCTGGACACAGTAAACATCTGATATCATGTAAATTTCTGTGATGGTTCTAATCCTTTCCAATTTTTGAACATTCAATTTATTGTGTTCTTATGATTATTTGGTTCTGTTTATCAGGGTCCCGAGGTTAGGAGTGGCGACTTGCCCCAACCAATTACATTAACAACTGGCCAAGAATTCACTTTTACAATTCGGAGAGGAGTTGGGACATCCGATTGTGTCAGTGTCAACTATGACGATTTTGTTAATGATGTAGAAGTGGGTGACATGCTTCTTGTTGATGGTATGCTACCTTGATACTTTCAAAAGCCCGTAAAGTATGCACGTCTTACTAATATCCCCCTTAATGTTTTATATGCAAATGCAACTCATACTTTCTTGGGTCTATGTCAAGTTGCAAATAGAACACTTTGCATTATAGAGGAAGTATGTTTTTTCTATTTACTTAAGTTATTTGATTGAAAAAGATTGCATAGTAGTATGCAATCATCACTATGTTTTATTTCTAGACTGATGTGAATCCTTTCGTTATCCTTTAACTAAAAAAATTTCAAGGAACACTATTTTTCATTTTGTTGATTTTATTCTCCTCTGACTTTTGATTTGTGATGTAGGTGGTATGATGTCATTAGTGGTGAAGTCTAAGACAAACGATTCAGTGAAGTGTGAAGTAGTTGATGGTGGTGAGCTCAAGTCTAGGCGGCATCTAAATGTCCGAGGAAAAAGTGCTACACTGCCTTCTATTACTGGTTGGTTCTTAACTTTTAGTTGTTGAAAATTTATGTTGCTTTGTAGACTTTCTGCTTTCCACCTTTTCTTTCTCACTCCCCACGGTTGAGAGATTGTAAGGAGCAATGAATTAATTAGTTCATTTGGTTTACTGCAGAAAAGGACTGGGATGACATAAAATTTGGAGTAGACAATAAAGTTGATTTTTATGCTGTTTCGTTTGTTAAAGATGCTCAAGTTGTTCATGAGTTGAAGAATTATCTGCAGAGTAAGTTATCTCGAGTTTTCCATGAAATATACACTTTTATATGCTTTAAATTCTCCACTAATGATTTTTTTCCTTCGCTTTTGGCAGGTTGTGATGCAGACATTCATGTCATTGTTAAAATTGAAAGTGCAGATTCCATTCCAAATTTGCATTCAATTATAACAGCATCTGATGGGGTGATCACTTAAATCTTTTCACTGAATATTTAATGCAGCTAATTTTACGGTTATTTATGCGTAGAAAGACATACATAGATTTCTGAATATTTATGAGTTCAATATCAAATAGTTGAGAGTTGTATCTGAACAGATATTGCCTTGTATTTACCCCAAACTAAAAAAAAATACTTTTAGTTCTATCATTGCTGGAAAAAAAACTTTAGTTCAGGAAAATTGGTGATAAATTATTATGAGGTTATTCATTTCAAATATTAGGTAGCATCTTTGGAGTGCAACTGGTATTCTATTTATATCTTTAAGGTAATGAGGAGAGCTCTGGGACTTTGGAAGATGATTTGAACTAAAGTTTAGTTATTACCCACTTCAGTGATTTATGTGCCGTGTGAAAAGTAATGCATGTTCATTTATTTTAGGCAATGGTTGCGAGAGGAGATCTTGGTGCAGAACTTCCTATTGAGGAAGTTCCTTTGTTGCAGGTTCGTTCAGACTTTTTATTGAACCGTAAAGACTGGATTTAGATGAATTATCAGACATGTTTTCTAAATTAGAAAAGAAATGAAATTGCATTTATTTATCCGTTTAGTACTCAACTCGCTGTAAAATATAGGAAGAGATAATTAGCACATGTCGAATCATGGGGAAAGCTGTTATTGTGGCAACCAATATGCTTGAAAGTATGATTGTTCATCCAACACCAACTAGAGCAGAGGTATCTGACATTGCCATTGCTGTTCGTGAGGGTGCTGATGCTGTCATGCTTTCTGGAGAAACAGCTCATGGAAAGTAAGTCAGGAAGTTACTTCCATTGCATTTTAGAATTTTATTTCAACTTAGCAAATTTCCCTCGGACAATATTGTTGTGCTGGCTTGCTTTATCTATTCTCTTGATCGGTTATTTGTATGGACAGTATATATGTAAATTGCCCTATCTAAATGCAATTTAAAAAGATTTCACTTCTTTCAGATTCCCGCTGAAAGCTGTTAAAGTGATGTGTAGACACCCGTTTTTGTCCGGGTTTTTTTTTATATTATTATTATTATTATTATTATTATTGTTATTGTTATTTATTATTATTATTATTATTATTATTATTGTTATTGTTATTTATTATTATTATTATATTATTAATATTACATTTTACACTTTTGCAGGCTTAGAAGCCCAATTCAGATTACAAAGGCCCAATCCCGGAGCCCAACAACCCAGACTGAACCACCATCAGATTAGGGTTTCAAACCCTAAATCAGATTAGGGTTTCAAACCCTAAAACAAATTAGGGTTTTAACCCTAATCCCCTAATGGCAGCCGCCGACCTCACCCCCCGACAGCCTCTGACGCCGGCCGCCTACATCCACAGCGATTGAAGGGCCGTCCATCCGTCATCCACAGTGATCCTCAACAGTGAGATAGCAGAGAAATCAATTAAAAATTAAAAAAAAATCCAAGCAAATCTAATCAAATCCTATCTTCCTAGACCTCATCATCTCACCAAACAAAGCAAAAATGAACATGCAAAGCAAGATAAAAAGGGGGGTCATTCGGGTGGTAAAGGAGGAGGGAGAGAATCGGTTTGAAAAAAAAAATCAAAACCTATTCGAAACTACAACAAAAATGAAATAAAAATAGAGAGAGAGGTGTCTCACCGTGGTTTGAGGCCATGGAAGCTTGAAGGTCACCGTGCTTTTTGTTTCCTTCGAAGGTAACTACCTAGATCTAGGGATTTAGGGTTGGTTTTAGGTCGAGTAAGGCGTTTTTTCTAGTATAGGGAGAGGAGATGATCATTTTGGGGGTCACTTTGACTCCCTCCGGTCACCGGCGCCGCCGTGCGCCGCCGCTCGCCACCGCGAGCTCCGCCGTGTTTCCCCTCCCCGGCGAGGAGGGTTGAGAGATTTCTAATCTCTCCCTTCTCTGTTTTGGCTGAATAGAGAGGCAAATGAGGGAGATGAGGGTTGAAGCCTCGTTTTGGGCTTAAGTACGCGGGCCAGAACGGTGCCGTTTTGGCACTGTTCAAAACGACGCCGTTTTAGGGGTTCTGGGTACCCGTGTTTTGCAAGCATGGGGTAACTACACTTTTAGCCCTTTCTGCTTTGTAACCTCACGATTTAGTCATTAAATAAAATTATATTTATTTTATTTTGAGCCTTAATGTTTCAACATTGGTATTTTGGTCTGGTACTTGCTTGTTTATTATTATTATTAATGTTGAACGTTGGCCATAGCATTTATAATTATTTCAATTTAGTCACTGGTTATGTGTTGTTTATTTCTTGTGAATGTTAGAATTTGGCCATGATATTTATGTTTCTTATATTTTAGTCACTGTTTGGTATTTGGTGTAATTACTGTTTGAATCTTTAAGTTTCTGTTTATTCTAAAATTGACCACTGATTTTGTTCTGTTTTATTGTAGCCATTGATTAATCTAGTTTCTCTATTTTATGTTTCCGATACTGTAGTTTCAATTTACACAGTTTAGTCACTTGTCTATAAAGCTTAGTTATTTTATTTTATTTGCATTATGGTTTGCCATGTTTGCATGTTTACATTTTAACCCATGTTATATTATTATACTCATATTTTACTTTGGCCACAATGTTTGTATTAGTTTCATTTTAGTCACTGATTTTATATGTTGTATGTTTTGGCTGATGTTCAAATTTGACTCTAAGATTTGTAAATCTGTTCATTTTAGTCACTAGTTTGCATTCGGTTTAATTACTATTTTAGTCCCTACGTTTCTGTTTTTGCCATTTTAGTCTTTTAATTTTCTATTTTTCTGTTTTAGCC